AGGAGTTTAATTACCTCTTAAATTAATTGTTCTAATTAATCATCAGCTATATTTATATCAATTATAAGCTGTGGACTACTCTTAAATTACACTCAGGTGGTATTTAGCAAAGTTGTTAAAAGCTACTTCTGTGAGGACAGCCTGGGAAAAGGCCTGAAACATTCAGTTTTGATAAACTAACTCTGATATTTCCAATGAACAAAGCCCAGGAGAGAAAGAGGGACTGGGGAGGTTGGACATCTAGAATGCAGAATTTATGGATCACAAGGACACTATGCAGAAAAAAAACAGAGAAAAACTCCGTATATGCACTGGAAATTCCCTACTAAAGGGAAAGATACAAAAAGACTAAAAATATGCACTAATTAGCATAAGAAGTGAGAAATCAATTACCAATAAATGACAAAATACTAATTAATTAAAGATAATTATGTAATTAAGAACCCAAGAACACTAATGTCTTGGTTTACTGAAAATGTTTAAATAAGTGAAAAAGTTCGGTATCAGTGCCCATGTGAAGGCCGAAATTCTGTCAGGCATACAGCCCCCGGCCAAGAATAAAGGAATGCCTAACCTGCTGACACTAAAAAGATGGCTGTAGAGGGTTTAATTTATCCTGCTGATTCAGGAGGATTTGGTAGCACGGGGGCACAGAGAGAGAATGACCACCCAGACCATAAGGATGGGAACATTTCAGGCATACCTGGGTGTCCCGGGGAATACAGCCATGGAAAGAGTCCAGGGACACGTGGGCAGTGGGTCTCACCTCCATCCTCCGTGTTTGCAGAGCGTCTGGGGCTGCTCATTGCTCCCATCAACACAGGCAGGGCCTCACTGCAGCTCACATATATATATATATATATATAAAATATATACAGACCCTAAAATTTTGGTGCATGCCCTGTGGCCCCCGCAGTCCTGTGAGGCGCAGAGGAGCCGCACGCCGGGTACAGTTCAGACAGATAGTTTTTAATCACTGCCATTAAATATTCGACAACATATTTTATCACGTGACTCCCACTAGCAAAAGTTCCCCCCTGAATTTGGCTTGCTAACGTAAGGATATACCAAAACATCAACCACACTGCTGGATGTCTGCAGCGACAGCGTGAAACAAGGAACTCACACACCGAAGCACACGTAAGTACCACTGCTGTTCCAAGTGTACAACTGGAATGACCTGAACAGAAAAAGCGCAATAGAAACTCACTATCACTCCTCTAGGCGGCTGCAGCTCGTGGCTAGCCAGGGCTGTCCGAAGGAATCGTGGATTATGTCATGGATTATTTCATGGATCATGTTGTGAGAGCGTTTGAGGCTTTCCAAAGCGTGCTGCCCTGGGATATTGCACTACTCTAAATACAATCCAAGTGTGCTGTTCACCCCCTGGCTGGCACACTACATGGCCTGCAACTGGTAAATACTGCTTTGTATCTCAAAAGCCGAGGGGGGTTTTCCAGAGGTTGAGGAAAAGCTTGCTGTATAAGCTGTTTCCAGTTTGCGGAAAAAAAAAAAAGTATAGTTAAACCAGTAATGAATAAATGGATGATATGAAACAATTATTCTGAATTAGTGCTAGTGAGTGTAGGTCACAATAGGATCTAACAACTGAAATGTACTGACACAGGAGATTAATTGAATATATTAATATGCAAAGTTTTGTTTCTATTTTGAAAGTAAACTATTTTCGTTGTGCCTCAAATTCAAATATAAGCCTTACAAATACCCATAGCCTCTGTTATAAATTAAACAGCTTCTAAACAATACTTGTCAACATTCAAATCTCCATAAACTTTGGCAGCTCTTTGGTAAATACTTATAAATATCAACTAACAAAATGGTCAAAAGGGAGGGGAGAGGCTGCCAGCAGGGAGCCTCTTCTTGTGGAATTCCACAGAGGAGAACAGAAACGAAAGAGCTCCCTAAGCAAAATCTGTGTCCAGGATTGACAGGTTTTAGTGAGACAGTAGCTCACCCTTCTTCTCTTTGTCTATTCAAATACTATTACACCGAGATTTCCATAAACTTCTGACCATTTTTTGTGCTCTACCATATATACACATTCAAAGTTTATACACAAGCTGAAGTGGCTGTTTACGAGCAGAGTTAAGTTTCAGTGCATTTAACAATTAATTATTGCACACAGAATAATCTCAAATGCCCAATTATTCTACTGGATAAAACGTAGGAACAAATACAACCTTCTGCGTCTCCGGCCACCTATCTGTCTGTAAAACCATGAAACAAATACAACCTTCTGCATCTCCAGCCACCTATCTATCTCTCTGTGAAGCCATGGCTTGGTGACACCCTGGGTGCCAGGGAGGGCTCTGCAGGGCACCTGTGGCTGCCTGCTCTGGATGGCACAGGGGGGGCAGGTGGCTTTCTGGCTGGCAGCGTGCAGAAGCAGTCAGCAGCACTTTGACTCCAGCCACCATCCAAGGCAAAGTCCGAACCGAGGAAGGGTTTGTGCTCAGCTCCCAGCAGGGCCGGGCACCCGGCCGGTTTCCCGGGGCCGAGCTGTGTAAAATCCGGGACGCTGGCGGACGGCTTCAGCTTGGTGGGGAAGTTCTCGTCCTCGTCAAACGTCACCCAGCCCCTGGGCTGCACGTTCTCCACCTTGAGAGATTTACTGCGCAGGCAAAAGGCGCTTGCGGCTGCACCCACAGGAAACAGAGGCTTGCTTGTGCCACAGCCGGGCGGGGGCAGAACAGGGAATGGGTGGGGAGCAGCAGCTCCTGCCAGTGCCTGTGAGGGGATCCTGGACTCCCGTGTCTCCGTCCTAAATGGGTTCCCAGCACTAGGAGTTCTTTCTGTGAATGGATTCGAGCAGTTCAGCCCAGTAATAAATGGGTTTGGAGAGCTGCGCTGATGTTCCTGGGATGAGTGGAAGGTTGGAATAGGAGGTGTTGCTGACATGCAATTTACAGGATTCGAATTCTCCGCATTTCTTTGCCTTACTGAAGGCAACTGTATCAACTCCTTCTGGTTTGAGGTTGGAGCGGGTGATGTTCGGACAGAACTCTGCATCTTGGACACGAGCAGCTGGAATGACAGGTCTTCAAAAGGGTCACTGCTGAGCTGGGGTTCAGGGTTAGTGCCGTGTGTCCCGTTGGGATTCTGCTGCAAAGGAAGCAACACGCTCAGGAATCATGCAGCTGGCTCCAGGGTATTCCCACTGCCCCCTTCTCACTCCCCAGCTCCAACTTCAACCCAGTTTTGTTTTAACTAGAGCTGTAACAGCAGCCTGAACCCCCTCTGTCTAAAGAACAGCCTGTAAGTGTTAAACACCATTCCCCCCTCCTCGGTGGGGAATGCAGCTGGAACCTACTCCCTGCAGGCCCCAGTCCCAGCAACAAACACTAAGGGAACTTGGCACGGGAAAATGTTTGGGAAATGGATGCTAAGCGAGGGACACTGGATTCTAAGCAAGGGACAGCCCAGCACAGCTATGGAATGAAGAGCTCAGGTTACATTGTTTGGAGTTTACCATACTGATGTTACAAGCAGCATTAAAGCACCACAATGAAAGGCAACATTAGTGTTATTAGTGTGTGCAGTCAGACATTGCTATGTAGGGCAGGCATCCGTAAGCATCTCTTTCTTCTTGGCGTGAAGAGGGACAATCGCTAATTAAAACAACAAGTTATCCTTGGAGAAGAGAGTTTTCCCCACAGAATTTCTCAGCTTTTAAAACCAAAATATTCCTCGTTTTACACACTGCTTCAAACAACAATGCAAGGTATTTTTTACCTCGTATAAGCTGTCCAAAAAGGTGGAGTATCTACTTTGCTCAGTATGCGCACTGACAGAACAGAGTTTGGAGCTTCCCCTTATCAAATGACTTAAGCTTAAGTAAAAATGGTTTCTAAGAGTTCAAATGTCACAAAAAGATTTTATGACAAATTAGCAGACAAATTTAATATACCAAAACAACTGAACTGACTGTCTATAGTTGAAGTTTTTAGCAGAATAATATTAAAACAAAGGCACTGAGTAACTCAGGAAAAAATGCGAAAAATTGAACTGTAGAAGGAATAGAAATCTAATGCAGCCTGGCACCAGCTGGTTAAGTCCTGTGACCATTTGAAAGTACAAGATCGCAAAGAAACCATGAATCCAAATTGCTCCTCATTCTAAGTAAAAACTTGCTTGGAGTAATTCTGGAGCCAAGTGTTTTTAAAATGGTAACAGTTTGTTTTACTCTGGGTCACAGCAAGGTCTCTGTTCCCTGAGAAATGTGATATATGGGGTTTATTCTGAAATAGCATGTGGCAGTGCAGAAGAATCAGGATTTATGTGCATCAACGAGAACATTTATTGCCAACACTGATCTGTTTTTCCCTGAACAGCCCGAGATCAGGAGGCTCAGCAGTGCCTAAGCAACACTTAGGCAAAGGCCCAATTGTTTCACAAAAAGATGATGACCCACAATAGTCTTTCCGGCCTTAATAACAGCAGTGTCATTTTCAATGCACCATGAAAGGAAAAAGCACACTGTGGTATGACAGTCACCCATGGATGCAGACAGGTGTGTTTAACGGGATGGGGCTGCAGATGTATGAAACACCATTCATACATCTCTGCTGCTAAATGGATGGAGCCACAACAAGAGTGGGAAATAGTCAGATACCTGTTACCCTGACGGTTGCTCCTGCTTGTGAAAGAGAAACACATATCAGAGCAAGGAAATTAGCAAGAAAATCCAAGTAACAAAGCAACCTCGTGTTAAAAACAATACTTTCAGAAGTTTTCACAAAGCCATTTTTTGAGTTTTGAATACAAACCACAAGTGTTTACTACACACTGCACTAAATTTTCCATTTCTGTTGTCTTCTACTGTAAGCTCAACCATTAGGAGTCTTAAAAAACCAACTCAAGTCCATTCTAATGATATTTCCATACAGACACCCATTGTGCAGCTGATTGTGCTACTGTTTTGAGACAAATTACAGGAATCTGAGCATGGATGGTCTAATTCTAGTCACCTATTACCATGAAAACCCCACAGCTCTCATTCTGAGAACTGTGTCAGTATCATCCCTGAACCATAGAAATAGTTTTGCAAGCTGATAAAACCCACAATGCCTCTCCTTCTGTGGAAATCCACAATCTCCCTTCTTTGCAATAAAGACCTACTTCCAGTAACTAATTCTCTTTTTCAGTGTGGAGATTGTATAAACTCCTGAATATTCACACTGTACCAGTCATTATTTTTATAAGAATAGATTTCATTTCTCCAAAATCATAATCAAGATTTGCATAGAAGGATGGCATGGAATTCACTATTTCTCAAAAGACCTTGCACTTCTTTAAAGACATTTCCTCAGAAACCTTGCACTTTTTGGTCTAAGTTTCCAAAATGAAAGGCAGTTCACAGGCAAAGAAAGAGGTTGAGGAGAAACAAAGGAAAAGCATTTAAAGATTTTTCCAGTTTGAGTTCAAAAATCAGCTCACTGAGCACTGAATTTGGCTGCTTCACTGTGGTACAACATCGGCATTAACTACTGTAGCAAAAAAGGGCTTCAGATATAGGCAAAAGAAGAAACCTGAGCAGCACTGAAAATCTGCTTCTGCATTTTTAAGCAGCAATAGGAAACTATGGCTTTTCCTAGAAAAAGTTGGTGTTTTTTATCCTAACAGTCTAAATAATCCCAGAGAAAACAGAACGTTAATGTTACTGTATGAAATTTCCACATTATGTGGATAGGTATTTTAACTGACACTGGGGAATGGGAAGAATGCTATTTCTCTCAAGTATTTATTAATATATTGATTAGACTTATTTACTTACTTATCAATGTCATCTCCCTTCAATGAGTGATCACCAACATCAAGCACCAAACCATGCAGTAACAATTTAAACCTGTGCTGCCTTACTGTGCAGCTTGTCATGCACATAGCCATTATCAAATCATCTTGCCTTGATCGAGAGCTTTTCCATACAAAGTTGCCAAATGACAACATCATTTTAAGACCGAGCTGCCCATAAACTGTAAGGCTATCACAAGTAATCCGAAATTCCATGTTTAGTATTTAAGATGTTAGTTATTCAAGGACAATACACAAGCCTTTATTACTCTCCTTGAGCCCGAGGAGCATTGAATCCGATCTCTGGACCCTTGTTTTTGTTTCTGTGCTGGCTCTGAGGGTTCCTCAGAAGCCTGCAGCACCAGCACGAGCTGCGCTCACTCACGCAGTGACAGGAGGTCCCTGCAGGGCTTTACTCACGTGCTGCTGGGAGGGAGCAGGTTCCGAAGGCAAACTGTGAGAGGAGCGGCTGCGCGGCGGCGGCTGCGNATCAGGGGCAACACAGGCAAACCTGCAGGAAACACACACAGGCATCAGGGGCAACACAGGCAAACCTGCAGAGAGAGTGGCCAGTTCAAAAGTTAAATGATGGGACATCTGAGCAAAGATAACAGGCTGCACAAAAAATTTAGGAGTGCAAATCTCCTCACTGGAATACCGACTTGGGAGTACATCTCTCAGCTTTGGCCCCTCTGTCTAGCCTGCTCATGTGGGGTGGGGGAGGAAACAAAAAGGAGAGATCTTCACTGAACTGTGAGGAGACAACTGCCCCTGGAACACAGGACTCAAAGCAGGACACGTGTGACCACAATACCAGACAGGGTGCTGGGGCTCCAGGCATTTGTGACTCAAGTGATTCAAGTCAGCAAAAGTCAGGTCAGGAATGGAGAAAGGGCTTAAAACTTGATAAAAAAAAATAAAACACATGTGAGCAGAGGTGCAAAGCCTGGCAAACTGCACAGCCCATGCAGAGAACTGTAAGAACAAGTACTTGAGATCATTCCAAGCCCTACTGCAAGGACAAAGGAGAAACATGACACATCTGGAAGAACAGAAATAAAGGTCTTCCCTGCGGATTTAACAGTTTCTCAAGTACTGAGGTAAGGGAATGTTGCCTCCTTGTGGATGTTCTTGATCTGGCTAACTGGCCAGTACAACCCCAAATACACAAGCATGTTTGTTCTTTTTTGTCTTTATAAAGTGCCAAACCAAACAAGCCACTTTGCAAACTATCCTTAACTTCACTCAGAAATGTTACTAAATTTTTGTTTCAAAGCCATACGAAGGCTGAAACACCACAGAGAGCGCCTAGAGGCTTGGCACTGTGAATCTGAATGCCTGAGAGCACCATCCCATCAGGGCAACCCTTGTGCTTGTCTTTGCACATACCCACTCAGCAGGACTGAGCTGAGTGCAAGTGCAAGTCAAACCAAGGCCTGACCCCTGCCATCCCTGGAATCCCAGGCTGGACTGAGCTCTGAGCACCCTGCTCCAGTGGAAGGTGTCCCTGCCCATGGCACTGGGGTGGCACTGGATGAGCTTTAAGGTCCCTTCCAAACCAAACCATCTGGGATTCTGTGATAACCTAAGAGATTACAACACATTTTTCAATTAATTACACATAAAATTCAAAAGACTTCATTAACTCCAAGAACAGCACAGTATGCAGTTAATTTTTCACCAGAAAGCATGACAAGCATTCACCCAAAGAACATAGCAGTAGCAAATTGCAAGGATAAAACTGAATGTGATTTAATGGTTCCACATGGGCTGGGCTGCCAGCATTCCCTTGGAGTTTGGATCTGATTCCTTAACCTGTTGAACCACTTGCCAAAAGCCTTGAAGAAAAACATTAACCAAAATGTCAGGTTTTATTAGACTGTTCACATCACTTCATGGCATTTCTCAACAACTGTCAGCCCTTGCACTGAAAAAAGTCTGATTTTACTTAAGATGCCCAACTCCACAGCACTTACTAGGAAAGCCCCACACATGACATGAGGAAACTCACCTTAGAGATTAATGCCTTAGCTTCTTCTATTGTCTTCTTTATAACTTGCTGCATTTTTTCATTTGGAGCTAAAAGTAAGAGAGATATCTCACAGTCTATGCTTACTGTAAAGAAACCAAGCACACATCCTGTGCAGACTCCACTGTGAGCAGATGAAACAGTATTGTATCATAAAGCAGAGTTACATAGTTCATTCCTGTATTTCCTACTAACTTAAGAAATAAGCAGTATTTTTCATGGGACAAACAAATGGACTTTTCCCAAAGAATGTGACTGGTACTTGCCCCTGGATCCCTGGACGTGTTCCAGGCCAGGCTGGATGGGGCTTGGAGCAGTGTGGGCAGTGGAAGGTGTCCTTGCCCATGGCAGGGGAGGGCAAGTGGATGAGCTCTAGGGTCCTTTCCAACCTAAACCATTCTGTGATTCCATGGTTCTGTGATCTGGAACTTCCCTTGGGACAAAGGTCCTCAGTAGAAAGCAACAACCATAATCCCATAATAACCTCCACAACAATCCAAGGCTCCTTCCCTGCTGGACTACTGTGGGCTGTACAGGCAGACATGCTTTAACTGGGCAAAACAGCTCACAGCTTTCTTTTCTAATTAAAATCTCAATCTAACAAAGAAGACAGTTTCACAAATACACTGTACATTCCATACCACAGTTATCTATTTCAATTACTACAAAAAGCCTGTCCTCAAAAACCCAGCTAAAGCATACTCATTCCCAGCTTATGTCCCACTTGGGTGCATCATCTGATGGCACCTGGTTTGGCTTACATATACACCCGGTTCAATTTTCTAACTTGGTCAATATCACAAGGCTGAACTCCCACTTAGAAAAACATGCTTGGTCAATCTGGATCCCAGTTAAGGAGAAAAAAGGAGAAATATTAGAAAAACAACTTGTCACTGTATCTTGGAGTCCCCAGTTTTCACATTTACAAATGGGGAGAGTAAGCTGAACTGCAACAGTCAAATTGGCTCCTGGTGATTGTTTATGTGCTGAACAGAGACACTGCTCTTAAAGCTTGTTAATCAGCATCACCCAAGATTCTGAGCCAAGGCAGAATTCCTGTGTGTGGAACTTAAAGTTCAGCTACCCCATTCCAGAATCAGGGATTTGTTGCTCCCTGTTATATCATGGACTGACTGTGCCTGAAGGGAAAGAAACAAACACTGACATTTGACTTACCAAATCCATTTCTTCGCCCCATTTCATCCTTCCTGAAGACGCTCCCACCACTTGGGACACACTTCTCTGCCCACTCGTCCTTTAACTTCAGCTCTTCAATCTGCTCATCTGTCAGTCCTTGCATGTTGTAAGGTAAGGAAATGCCATGCTCTGCCAGCTCCTCCATCTCTTTAGAGAATTTAGAGAACAAGATTAAAAGCCTCTGTTACTATAGTCCATTTACAAAAGCCTTTCACGTGATGTACATGCAAGGAAAACTTGCCCCTAGCTTTTAGCTTCCAAACAGGTAGAGTCAGGGAATAAAGAAAAAGGGATATAAACACACATATATAGATAGGGATAGTGTAATTAGGTTGAAATTTATACATTTTACATAACCATAAAACAATGTAACAAATGACACGTGCAGGGATACAAACCCTCAAGGTACTTCGTGGCTATAAACCTTTCCTTTTTGGTATTTCCCTAGTCAGATTTTTTTTTTAAATTTCAGAGTAGCATCAGTATGGCCTCAGACAGCCCACAAACACCACGGCTGTTGCACAGCAGCTGTGGGTGGGCTGCAGCCCCAGGTCGGGCTTATCTGACACCAGTCTCTGCTCTCACAGCCCCACAGTGGAAATGTTTTTTAAAGCTGCCTCGGAAGCTGCTGGGCAGGAGGGAGCACTTCACAGTGCCCTGAAGGAGGACTCTGGACAAAGAACCGTAGCCAAGGGCCTGGCGTGCCAGGACAAGGGGGAACATGCTCAAACGGCCACAGGGCAGGGTCAGATGGGATACTGAAGAACATGCTTCCCCCTGCGAGAGTGGGCAGGCCCTGGCACAGGTGTCCAGAGCAGCTGTGGCTGTNCTGTGGCTTCAGGGGCTCAGGGAGCAGCGGCGAGCCTGCACGGACATGGCAGCGATTGTCATGGTCAGGAACAGTAACCAGTATTGGGGATGGCAGGATGGGGAAGCACCAGAGGGAACTGCAGAGAAGGGGCTGTGAGAACAGCAGCTGTTCATGGCAGAGGGACTGGAATCCTCAAAAACTCAGCACATCTCCAGTAAAAATTGCTACTCAAGTTTAAGTGACAGAGGGCAGGGTTAGATGGGATATCAGGAAGGAATTCCTTTCTGTGAGAGCAGGCAGGCCCTGGCACAGGGTGCCCAGAGCAGCTGTGGCCGCCCCTGGATCCCTGGAATGGCCAAGGCCGGGGCAGATGAAGCTTGGTGGAAGGTGGCCCTGCCCATAGGCAGGGGCTTGGAATTCATCTCCAAGGTCCCTTCCAACACAAACCATGCTGTGGTTTTACACAAAACACAAACCATGTCACCCCAAAACGAGCTTCAGCTATACTGAACAGTATTTTGGAAGTCACTATTATAAAATGTGTGTTTTTATACATAAAAAATAAAGGGTTTTTTAAACTGTAAGTTTAGGAAGTTGTTTTGAGAGTCAGACATGAATGCTATTCCACATCTTATGATTACAGAACTAACAATGCATAGAGCATCTGGTGATCAGTGGCCAGACTGTGACAGACCAGGGTGCTCAGACCAAACCCTGCAATCTTTGCAGTTTCTCTGATACCACAGAATCTATGGGTGATCTTGAGATTAGCATCCAAAAATGCAATACTTGTGGGTGCCTAACACAAAGTGCCAAATGCTATTACATCCGAGCATCTTATTCCTAGTGAAAAATGGAGACATCTGTTGAGAACAAAGCATTCAGAGCAGACTGTAGCACTTGGCTGAAGAGGGACATTTGTGTTTAACTCACCCCGTGGTGGTTCCGCTGCCTTGGGCTGCGCCTCCGGTGCCGGTCGTGCCCCCGAGGGACGGACATGGCTTTGTGGGGCACTGATAACTCCAGCTCGGGGAGGAACGGTCTGACAGCAAAGGTGGCAAAAGAAAGGATTTTAGTGCAGCTTTGGAGCTGCAGTCACCTACTGCTAAATGATTCAGAATAATCCTGATCATTTCACAGAATAACCAGGACTCTGTGAACAACAAATTCTTTTACAACAGCTGCTCAACTGATTTTTTTAATGCACATGCAAGAACAAAGAATATGTTTTCAAAACATTATGATGGTTCAATTCAAAGCAAAGGATTTTTACAATGCTTTTCAACTTTATATAAATGCTTACCTGTGCAACAATGCTAGAAACAGTTATTAGTTTGCTAGTCTTAATAAGAATTTACCTAAGTGCACGAGTTGTAAGCAACAAAACCAACAAGAGCAACTACTTTATTTGGAGGTCTGTTTCTCATCAAACAGTATTAATGAAACACATCCTGTGTCATCTGAAGGCTTAAGTCTCCCTGAGGTTGATGGAATAGAAGTTATTGTGCTGGGAATGTAAATTTCAAAGTCTTCATCAGTATTTGAAGACACATGGGAAGCTATTCCAGATTAGAATTATAACAGTAAATTACAAACAACACAGTGAAAGCTGAATAAAAGGCCCTGGGATAAAAATGCCAGAGATCAAGGGAAAAGGATGGAGAGACAGGAAGGACTGAGAGACAAGTTTGTAAGACTTGTTTCCTGTAAAATGTTGTGTACCAGAGGACATGCTAGAAATGGTTTTCAGAGCAAATTTCATTGCACAACTCTACACAAAAACTCATTAGAAACAAGCAAATACTATAAAAAAATAGTCTAATTCTTGATCTTAGTTTTACTAGCTATGTCCCTGGTTTTGTATCATGTGATTGCTTATGCTTGGCTGGGTCCATTGACCAACGTCCTGAACTCTTGCAGCCACCTGACCTCAAATTCCTGTCTGAATTCCTGAATCTCCTATCTGATCTGAGATTGCCATGATGCATTTTGTTATTTCTTTCAATATTCTGACAGTAGGCAGGAGGATGATGGGATTATACACCAAAATGTATTTTTAAAAAATAAAAATATACCAAAAAGGAACAGAAGAGAAACTAAGTGTAAAGCAGCTCTCAGGATCCCTTAGTGGGAAGCAGCACCCACTGTAGCTACTGTCCCTGGTCCTGAAATCACTGAGATGAAATCCAACAATCACCTGAGACGAAGGCAACCACACAGTGAAAAACGAATACATTCCTGCCTATATATACCACTTTTTCTTTGCCCAAATTTTAGAAGAGGCCATTTTACATTTCCAGAAGAATAAAAAATAAAAAAAAGGAGCCAAGATCATGAATGGTTCACTGTGAGAATCAATCCCTGAGAAAAATGAATCTGTACAATTTGCTTCAAGGGAAACAGCAGTTTTCATTAGTTCCAATATTGGAATATGCTGCAAAGTCACAGAACTATCAACAGACAGTCCCATTACTCAGTAACTCCTTAAGAACACCTGTAGCTATTCAAACACTTTCCTCTTCCCTCCCATAAGGCTCCTACTTGCTTCTGTTGAGAATAAACTAGGCAGACAGATTTCATCTCTTGGTTTCCTGATTGGGGTGAAGCATCTGAATGCCCATAAATCCTTTCCTTCCCTCCTTCAGTTCAGTTCCACAAACAAAGGAATGAACCACAGTACTAATATCTGCTGAAAGAGTTGAAGGTTTCATTTTTACATGAAGACTCTTACGAAAATTAGTCTTTAAAACAAGGTACATCAGAAGATCTCAGCTGCACATGTAATCCATTAATGGCCCGTCAGCAATTAACTGCTAGCACGATTTATGTTTCAGTGCAGAAGATAATGCATTTTATCACACCAAATCAGTAAGGACATAGAATAAAAACAGTAACCTTGCAGTTATTTGAAAGGAGATGTCAAATGTGTAATTGGGAGCCTATTGTGTGATTGCAGAGTGCAAAACAATCCAGTCCCATCCAGTCTGAACACACACGGTGGCTTCCCCTCACCCCACAGTATTTTCAGTCAACAGACAAAAATTGTTGAGATCATTAACTCTGTAGATTTCTTACATGTGCTGTGGACTACCAGAAACGTGGATGTAACAAAGAGCAGACACTGAGCAGGACAATGATCTCCAAACATTAAAACCACACCTACCGGTCTGGCTGTACCCGCCGAGGGTGGAGGCTGAGTCCGAGCTGGAACAGAGAGCAGAGATCACTGACTGAGCATTCATTTAAAATCAACGTCTGTCTGTATAATAGTACAAAGCACGTGTCTATTACCTAAGGTATCTTTTCTTTGTGTTCCAGGGCTTTTTTGTGCTTTGCAGCATGGAAAACAAACAGATTGTCTGCGTTAGATAAGCCACAAATGGGTATTAGAGGGCGACGTTACATTACTGCTACTGGGAACAGAAGCAAGGAGATAGTGACTTTTTCAAAATCTATAACATATCCACCCACTGTCAGTAACACACTACCATCCCATGGCACACACGAAGTCATTTGACCCTTTTTATTACAGATTGTTTAAATCACATCCTATTTGTTGCAAGCTAAAGACACCACTTGTACAGGTCCCCTGTGTTCTCAATGGTGTTGGATGGAAGCTGTTTTGTTTCCTGGTATATTATGTAGATGTTCTACCAGCAGGGGTTAAACCAAAGAGAGCTGATGGACAGTTCCTGACCCCACTCTGTTTATGGGATAAACGTGTCAGAGCCCCAGCTTCACCATGGCCATGCTGAGGGCAACCTTCGGATGCAATATGCCAACCGGGCAGGGCAAGAGATTACAAAAATACCTTTAGTTCAGACAAGTCCACAATTTCTAACAGGCAGGGAGGTTTGGGACTCTGGCTTGAGTTTCTGCTGCTTATTCCCCAGGAAGGCAAAGTCACCACGCCAGTGGCAGTCAGTGGAAGGAACTCTGTGGTGCATCACTCACTCGATCAAATCAGCCTCCAGCTATCAGCCTGCCCTGGAACCAGTCAGAATGGGTTTCTGGGGCTGTTCTCAGGGAAGCAGCTCCCACCCTGAGCAACCTGGTGCCAATTGACCCTCCTTGGAGCACGAAGCTGGAGTGGATAATCACTGAAGGGGCCTTCCCACCACAAATATTCTACACATAGAGTGGTTTTGCCAATTTAGAAAAATGAACCAGCAATGCAGCCAAAATTAATGCAGCATCCTGGAGGAAACCCTGCCGGTGACTCTATCAGGACTTGCATTGCTATTTGCTGTGAAGGACACGTTCCTGAGAGACAAGGAAGAAACCCCAGCCCATGACTCTGCAGGCATGGCTAAAGCAGGACCCATCCACAATAATCCCATGTACTCCAAGCAGAAAGGTGCAAGAGAAATGCTGCTCAGAACTGTGTGTTACACACAGCTGGCTATCAGAATCAAAACATCTACACTGTGCTCTTTAAAAAGAGGCAAAACATAAAATTATAGACCAAATTTTTGAAATGGAAGCCTCTCTCCCCAGATTATACAAACACACATAGTACTTTATGAAAAGTCAGGCTCCCTGGATTCCTGATTTAGTTACAGGTGCAATGGTCACTCTGATGACCAGCAGCTACAGCTTCCTCTCAGCGTCAGCCTTAAAGGCATTCTTGATCAGAGCTCTCTAAGTTTTCACTGAGCTTTTCATAAATGCCTTCTGTAACAATCCCCACCACCACTGAAAAGCAGGAAGCAGCCTGGCTGGGTGAAAGCTATGCTAAATAAAAGAACAAAGATCTTACACAATAAATGCATTAATGAAACAACCTTTAGTGTCATAAGAGCAATAATATTATTCAGATGTTAAATCAGAAATCCATTTCTAGAACACAAAAATTGTTGTGTTACCTTCTACTTCTCTCCTAGCTACCCCAGGACTGGGAGGAGCTCCAAGACCTTTTCAGAGAAAGAAGAGAAGCTGTACATAGCATAAGAAAAGCAGTAGATTGAGAAAGAAAAAGCAGAAAGAACACTGCCACAAGTGTTTACACAATTTATCTCTGGTCTGGATAGATTGCAGTCACCTGTAGGAAATAACTCTTTGTAGCAGCATGGGGGACCAGACTGGTGTGAATTACAAACCATCAAGTACAATCATGTTTAGTAATACCTGTTATTTCAATTTTACATTATAGTTGAATTTGATTCCTTTAGAATGTTCACTCTACACAAACCTTTGGCTATCCCGTGTGATCTGTCATGCCAGTCTTAAACAGAGCAGAGCACAGAGCTGCGCTCAGACACTGGGGAGTAAATGAGCACAGCACTGTCACCCTGCAAACCCAAGCCTGATCCCTGCCATTCAGAACACTGAGCAGTCTGTTTGTGCCATGGTACACTGAATAGGAAATGTGATAAAGCAATACCACCCACCTCATATAACGTAGTGTATCCTGAAGAACTGTATTACTGAGCTGCCTCTACACAGCACTGTGCACTTGGGACAGCTGCACCCATTGGTTTAACAGCTCAGATTGAGAGAAAAGGTTTTCAATCATGCATAACCATGCTGAATTACTTTATTTCTGCAATATCATCAAGCATGCACTGGGTTCCTAAAACTATGGCAAAAACAGGGCAGGACATAGTCATGATGGAAATACTGAAGGCATCTCCTAGCTGTGACACAGCCTCCTGCTAAATCCCTCAGCTGTGACACAGCCTGCTGCTGTCTCACCAGTGTGAGATGTGCCCAGAAGCTCCCTGTGATCTGTGAGCTCTGTCAGTCACAGAGCGGGCAGAGTGAAGGCCGCATTTGGGGCTGAAATGGGACTGGCTCCAGAGATGATGGATCTCTGCTTTGGCTGAAGATCTGTTTCAAAGATGCTCAGCCCCAGCATGTGTTATCTGCTCTGGCTGAGAGCCAGGCTCTGCCAATTCTCATCACAATTCTGACCATGAATAACTAACTCTGTGAGAGGAGCAGCATTGGGGCTGCACAGGAGCAGGGCACAGCCTGACAACATCCCTCTGCTCTTGTTCTGTGCAGGACGAGGACCAAAGGCAGCTCCTCCCAGCAGCAGGGGGACACGGGCACACGTTCCTGCATCGCTGCACCAGGCACAGGGAGCAAGATCTCGGGCATGAAGATTGGGCAAGGTAACCAACGTTCACTACAAGGGGCAGAAACAGCACAGAGGGTAAATACCTGACACTTCACTTACTCCTAGTACTCATTTCACTGACTCATAGTTCTCTCCAATAGCGGGAAAGCAAAATTATTGTGCTGTGATAATGCTATCACAAAGGGCAGCATGGGAATATTTCAATCTTAGGGACAATAAAAAATATTTTAAACCAATTATAAAAGCCTTGGCTGCAACAATCAGGAAAACTGTCTAACAGTATTAAAGGAAAAAACTGCACAAATGTTATTTATTAATGTCAATTGACAATTAGCAGCCTTTATAGTTTTTAATGTTCTCTGAAAATTTAATCTGTAATGTATTACAAAAACACTGGGTTAACAGAGGGCAACACTTTAGTTTTTACCTATAAACAACTGGAACTTGTAGGATCCTCAGTGAATTTTTTTTGTATTAGCATACAAAAGGTCTCCACTTTGTAAAGCCCTGCAATAAGTGCAGAGCCTTGTTCACCTGAACTGAGTTACTTCTGATATAAAATAGGACCAAAATAAAACACTTAGATGCCCAAAACCTTCTCTCATCTTCAAAGCATACTGAGGCATTAGAAAAAGTGCCATGGGCAATGAAGGGACTGAAGCACTTGGGGGAAAATAGGTCAAAATATGTGAGGAAAAAAAGTTTATTTATAAGGCACAACATTTAAAAGACATGATCAATGTCTCTTTGCATGTGCTATGGAAGTCTAAACCCAAAGTCTGAGCCACACTACACAGGGATATTCCACAGAGCTTCCAGAGCCTTGCTCCTAGGGAAGAGAAACGTGCCCTTTCCCCACTACAGTCACCCATAAGGACACTGATTTTGGTTCCAGCCCTGGGCTAACTTGCTTGGAGCTGAGCTCAGGTACCCATGAAAATCGCTCTTTATGCTTACACATGTACACCATGAGTGGAAAATGGAGAGCAGAAAAAAGTAAAGAGCTTCTGGTTGGAATAACATATGAAAAAATATACTAGCGTCTCAAATGATTGCATAAAAAGCAAGTTTTATGCAAGTTACAACTCTATGGAAAGCTGTGTTGGGAAAGGTGATAGAAGAAGACAACTGAGTAGTCTTTGCACAATTGAGACAAACCAGGCAAACAGGATTGTGTCAGTGCACAGAAAACCACACAGGACTGGAGAACAATGAATTAAATCTCACCTATGTTCAATGTGGTCTATCAACTGCTTCCTAAAGCTTCTGCATTTTAACTCAGCTGAAATATTCCATGTTGGGCATAAAACCTTCCTTGTCTCACCAGTATTTCAGAGCCAAGTACATTTTTGCCTGACACCAAAGTTACCTGATAGTTACAGACTACTTAAAATAGTTCATGTATTTTCTGAGATTACTCCAAACTTCGGAAGCATTTTGTCAAAAACGTCTCTTTCCTACCAACTGAGGGGCAGTGCCTGGAATTGCCACTAGCACTTCTCACCCTCCCTCATGTATTGATGAGCTGATTTAAGTCCAAGCAGGACAGAAAACGTGGGCCAGAGAAGGACAAAGCCTACTTTGAGAAGCACTTCACAGCAAAGTTAGCTGGATGTGCTCAGCCAGGACAAAGTAATAGAAATCTGGAACGACCTTCATCTCTGACTTTAAAATACCAACTTCTGGAGAAATACTACTTCACCAGAAAGTGAAACGTAGTTCAGAGGGGGAAGAAAGAAATGGCAGGGACATTCATGAATTATCCAGTTCTGGAACTTTGAGACTTGCCCATTTTCACACCTTCAGAAATCATCACGATAAGTACTGTCACAACAGGTCCCCACAGCAGTTTTGCTACGCAGTCATATCCAAAAACAATTAAAATCATTACCTCCAAATTCCTTTCTAGCAGGTGCAGGACTCCTACCGCCTGACAGTATTTAAGAAATGAATGCAGCAATAATGAAAAGTGTCAGTGTAGTAGGAGGGAAGAAAGAGAATGAGAAAGTTAAAAATCACAAGGGTCACTTTGTTATTAACTATGTAGCCCAAATGCTTCTGAACATCCAGTTTCTCTTAGTGCTCAATTGTTCACATTGTCAGATGATCCAAATGAACTCCACATTAAAAACTTAGACACGATAAAACACATATATACTGATGCCAAAACTAAAGGAATAGCAATGAATCAATGAATGCACAAGTCTATTTCTATTTTACTTTAAAAGAGATGCTATAAAAAAATGAACATGTTCAGTAAACATAGCTGTAAAATTTCACATTTTTAAAACTGTGAAACTAAGTTTTTATAAACTTATTCACTAATAATATTTAAATGGTAAAAATGCTGTTATTTCCCACTGCTTTTAAATGTGCCAATTAAACATTTCAATTAAATAACCAGTGAGCCCAAGTGCAATACACAGTTTGGGTTTGCACTTTCCAGTCCCTCTCACAGACTCAGGAAAGCAGACAAATGTTCCTGAGCAGCTGGGAAGGTCCCCAGGCACCTGAGGGGGGAGGCGGGCGC